TTTCCCTAATTGCATTCAATGCTGTTGACAGTTTTGAAGTTTTGTTTTGGTTTTTTTATTTCTTCATAGATCGGAACAAAATGGAAAGATGTGGTCTCCAGGTGCATTCGATGTCACTTTCAGCCATTGTTGCTATTTTATGCTAACCCAGATGGCACAGCTGTATCTCCAGAAGATGCTCCAAAGCAGATTATTCACTGGTCTCAATGCAAAGTAGCAGGAAGAATAGGGGAAGACTTGGGTAATTAAGATTTTTTTTTTAATTTTTTTTTTTTTTAATAATAGTATCAATTATATTTCTGAAATGGGGATTATCAAGGAGAATGTAATGGATTAGCTGCTTTATTCTGAAATACTTTTATCAATTATCTAAAGAGTCTCAAAAGAGATTAGTGTATATTAGAACTGTTTGGTTTGTGTCTGATAAGGGAATACAAATTGAGACTTGGGGATAACGGGAGAAAAAATTTCTGTTGTAGATTGTTCATAACTACACAACTTCAGTAATTTCAGAAAAAGGTCATAGTGTGTTTTTATATGTAGATGTTCTTATATGTTTATTAATACATTTAAAATACCTTTAAAAATGCTGTAAAAAGATACTTTAAAGCTTCATACACATACAGAGATATATTTGTACCATATGTGTGTATATATACACACACAGCACAATTCAGAACTTTGGGAAAAATCACAAGAAGCTGCAGAAAACTTATTTTCTCTGAGATTCATATAGCATAGGCCTCAATATGTAAGAATCCAGTCTTTTGTATTGTAGTTTTTACTGTTGTCTTGTGGGTTGTTTCTTTTTTTTAAAAAAAGTGTTAAACATAACATACAAGTAAATTAAATAAAAAACCAATTTAATTTGACATGTTCTTCTTCACGTAATGAGTAGCAATAGGACATATTCTGCTTCAGGGGAAAAAAGAATTGAGGACACTATTCCACTGCAGTCTACCACTATAAATACAGCACTATATAAAATATTACAGAACCTTATTGCCTAGCACATTGAAATGTGGTGTGGGGTTTTTTTGTGAGGTTTTTCTTTTGTTTGTTTGGGTTTTTTTAATCCAGAATTAAATTTTCTTATTTTTTCATTTAGATATTGGAAACTTTAAATTAGGAAGCCTTTAATTTCTAAAAATTATATATGTTATTTGATAGGATTTGAAAAGCATTGTGCTCCTAAATCAGACCACGTGAAAGAGAATGGAATTGGAGACCCCACAAATCAAAGGAGTAATAAAAAACTTCAGCCAGATAACTCAGCATTTAGTAGAAGCCATATTCAAGCTAGTGGTGGTAGAGGTCCAGGTATGTATTCCCCACTCCCAAAAAACCTCCAGATGTGTCCTATTATGAAATATTTCAGTTGATAACATTTCAGGTATGTGCTAACCTCTGGACTAGAACCATTTTTGAAGGAAGAATTCTATCGTTGACTGGAATGAATCTTTGAATAACAACTAATGTTGAAGTAATATCTGCCATGGAATGTTAACTTTTCTGGAGAAATGGAAGTGCAAAATTTTTTTTATTACCCCTCATTATTCTTGCACTAAAGTGGCTTTTGAGGCCTCAATATATTTCTCAAACATCAGCATGCCTTCCAGTCATATTGTCAAAAGGCACATTAGAAACTGGAAGCTGGGTGATCCTTTGGAGCACATGGTGTGGCTCTGTGGATCATTGGCTATTTGAGGAACACTGTTCCCTAGCAGTATTATGACATGCAGCGTTATTTGTAGTCCAGTATATTAATGGACTTTATCTTAATGTTTGGAAAGAACACTGAAAAAGTTTCTTTATCTTTTTAAAAAAACATTTTCTCTGTACATGAGGCTTCCAAGCAAATCAAGCTATAAGAAGTCATGAGGCAGCAACTTCTGCATTACTTGCCAGTGCCTTTGCTCTGAACTCCCCATACTGCTCAGGTGGAGACATGATGCTTTCTCTTAAGATGTGTTTCTGCTCTGTCTTTATTGTTCTGTTCATAGACTTTTTAAACCTGAGAATGCTTAGCTTGGTAACGTTTTTTGATGGAGTGATGACTCAAAAATGGGCAGTATTTACCTTTTCAGAAATAGAAGGATTTATTTTCATAAACAGTGACTCTACTGTTTTATTAAAAGTAAACCTTCACATCTAGACAAGATTAATCCTAGGTTCATTTTTTCAGTATAACTCATAAAATTTAATGTAAATAGTATATGCTTTGAAGATGGCTTGAGCATTCAATTTTAATAAGTAAGAGCTATTTGTAAGACATGCTTGGCATAATGCTGCTTTGGTTACTTTCATAAGCTCCATTTAGTGGATATATCTATATATTTATATCTATACTATACATTCCATTTTCTTAATCTGTGTTATGTAATTCATTAGTCTTTTGAAGTAGTACTAATATTAAAAGCTAAACGTTAGGTACATAAATATATTTGTATTTTTTGATGCTGAATGACTTGTTAGTAATGATCTTTGACAAAAAGTATTTTTTGCAGTGAAGTTAGGTTACAGCGATCAAAAGGACAGGCTGAAGGACCTATCCAGAGAGTGTGCTCAGAAAGCTGCTGATATGAAAAACTTCTCATCTTTACGAAAAGATGCAGACAGAGGACCAAGAAAAGAGACTGGGAGACAAAGAGGTACATTTTAAAAATATGACCAGAGAATCAATGGGCTGAATAGCTTTTAGCATCAGTACTAGCTGTGCAGATTTTTTTCTCCTTTTGCGAGAACACATTGGAGTTTCCCAGTTTTCAGTATTCTGAAATATGTACTGAATTGGTTGAGATAGCATAAGAAAAATAAGTACTATAACAATATCAGTTAAATATTAATTAGAACTTCAATGGAGCTTTTTTCTTTTTCTTCTTATAAGATTTGATTGGGGAAGATCGTTCCAGTGTTAAGTCGGGGTCTCCTCCAGTTGGAAATGGACTTAGACACTGTGCTGATCAGCGCATATACAGCAGCCAGGGAAGATGCTCCTATAAACATGACAATACATCTCACCAAGCAAAGCTTTCTGCACAGGTGCTTGGATCAAATAGAACAGAAGCTTTTCCTGCTGTGGAAAAACCAGTGATGAGGACCCGGACTGATGGTGTCACTGGCTACGATACGGACACCAGTCAAGACTCTAGGGACAAAGGAAGTGTCATCAGCAGCAGAAGCAGAAGTAGAGGTTGGAAACCTATGCGAGAGACACTAAACGTAGACAGCATTTTCAGTGAGACTGAGAAAAAACAGCATAGCCCAAAGCACAAGGCAAATCCGAACTGTAAATCCAAGCACGAGAAGGAGAGAAGCTTTAACCATTGGCCAAAAGAGAACCAAATCCACAAAGGTTTAATGACTATATATGAAGATGAAACAAAACAGGATACAGGAAGTCGAAGTTCACTAGATTCGGACGGAAAAGGGAATGCTGAAAAAAACAAAGGATTTACAGAGAGAAAAATCCATGGTGATAACTGGCAAATTCAGAGGACAGAATCTGGATATGAAAGCAGTGATCATATCAGCAATGGATCTGCAAATCCGGACTCACCTGTTATTGAAGGAATCAATCCAGCAGATGTCAAGAATGTTAAAGAAAGTGCTTCCTGCAGGTAACGCTGATGCTCTTAAAACTTGAATATTTACAGAAAAATAAGTTGTTCTAATGTTCATGTGTTGTTTCAAAAAAAAAAAAAAAAAAATCAAGAAAACATGCTTTGGAACATTATACACTCAAGGTCAGGTATGTAGAAAACTAGCAACATATCTAGAAATAAGAGTGTGGACAATTAAGTGTTAAGTTTACCTGCACTCTGAGGCACACTAGCCTGTCTGGAAGGCCCTGAGCCACATTATTATGGCACCGAGCCAGACCTGCTAAGCCCTGCTGCGGGGCAGGGTGTGTTAATTTCAAATTATTGCTACTCTTCTTTAGTTACAAGTTTTTTAGACTGCAGGTAACTTGGCATCTGTGAAAGAATACAAATGTCTATATAAATCATATCGGTAACAGTCGTACAGACAAGCCCCTGACAAGGAGATGGGAATGGCAGTAGGTGAGTTTTGGATACTGTTACTAGGCATGGTTCTGAAATTCAGTTTTCTAGAACACCTTAGATTTACATTGATCACTTGATAATTGACCTGTTTGAAAGAAATCTTTTCAGCAAAATTACTAAAACTGGCAAAAAATGTAGTTAGTAGCCATATTTTATAAAACTTATGAAGAACTGATGTACTCTAGTAACAAGTATGTTGCCCAGAGATGATGTGAAGTCTCTGTGGAGATACTCTTAACCCAACTGGGCATGGTCCAGGGCAGCCCACTGTAGTTGACCCTGCTTGAGCAAGGGCAGTGGGACTAGATGATCTGAAAAGGTCCCTTCCATCTTAAAGGATTATGTGGTCCTGTGGAATAAAAAGTCATCAACCTTCCACATGCTGTTTTCTGTATTGTGTGTCTTAATATCCTTAGAATGGAAGAGCACAGTTGTGAGACCAAGCCTAGTCAAAATGTTTGCTAGATTTGAGTACATTTTTGAACATAGGTTCTCATAAAAAGTTATTTTATGGGGGAAGAGAATAGCAAATAGCAGTAAATTAAAAGTCTCTGACTTCTCTAAATGGAGACGCAAAATTTTAAAACTAATTTCAGAAAGTATAGTAGCTAGTGATCGAAACTTTTTTTAAAATTATTTAGAAACATAAAAAATACAGCTTCTTTATTAATTGAGATGTCTTTGATTTTTTTTGGAACCACAAGAAAGCATATAAATATGTGTAAAGCTACTGCAACTGCAAGCCATGTTTATAATTTCAGTGTTTACAGTTGCCTTGAACAGTGATTTCTACAGTTAAAACCACACCTCACTTTTAAACATTCCCAAGAGTTAATGCGGTGCCCAAATGCTGCATGTGTCTTTATGAGAAAGAGTATGAGAAATTTAAAACAACTTAGTTCATTAAGAATCTGCTTACACTATTGTTTAAATATCTGTCAAATAAAGGGAGGGAAAAAAAAGTACTTTATCAAAATACAAATGACTTCTTGGGGCTTCAGAAGGATTTTATATAACTGGTAATTAGAATTGACTGGCAGTACCCACTAGTTCCCTTCTAACCGTTCAGACTTTGTCTCATAAAACAAAAAATATTTGAAAGTTCTTTTAGAAGGTGGAAAAAAATTACTTTTTGTTTTCTGTTAGGTTCTTTCCTGATTCTTCCTATTTTTTCAGTATGTTTCTTGCTTTCCTTTCCTTTTAATAAAAAATCTTTTTTTCTTTTTTTTCTTTTTTTTTTTCTTTTTTTTTTGTTTTAACTGAAAATTGCCACCATGTATTTTTTCTGCTTTACTCTTGGAGAAGGAAGGAACTGACAGGGTGTTTGTCAGCTCCCTGTCTGGATTGGTAAGGCATGCTTTTCTTTAACTAAACCAGCAAGATTTACTAAACCTGCTGATTATTTTTTTTTAACTATTTTTTTCCTCTTGGGTTTGCTGCTGTAACCTTCCAGTTTTATTCCAGTTTGAGAAAAAGTTTCTAAATGAAAATCCCTATGAATGAAAGGCCAAGTGGCAATCACAACTTAAAGAATGGTGTTTGTCACAACAAACTATTAGTGAATAGCAAAATGTCAAACTAAGAAAACGGACAATGTTAGCTGACAGATTACACATACTTAAGATACTGATATTGATGAGATTTGTGCATTTTTAGAAAATTTAAGCTTGTCATAGTCAGATGCTGCTAGATGTTTAACTTCAAACTACTAACATGAAAAATGTATTTGTTTCAGACATGGATAACACTGATGATAAATTGGAAACCATATAGTTCCACATGGGTAGTATTCTTTTGCTGCACTAAAGTGGCAATTTTAGGTAAAACCTACAAATAAATGGTGGTACCAGTGGTATCTGTTCTATTTGAAAATCACTACAGAAAACAGATATTAAAAACATCATTATTCTATTGTTGGTAACTTTGGGAACCAGCTGTCTTTATTAACACCAAGAAAATTTGCTTTTTATGTACTGCATATTAGGCATCCTGCTGTTGTACCCTAGAGTAAGGCTGGGATGAGGGGGCATCCAGTCTCCAGAACAAACTGGCAACACCAGCCTCACAAACTGTATATTTTTTTGTCTGTCTATATGAAAGGATTCAGGCCATCCTAAATTTCTCTGCATCAGCACAGCCTGTCACATGCGGGAGCAGTGTTAAAAGTATTAAAGGGCCATCCCTACTATCTTACATATCTTCTGTAAAGTGTGTGTGTTAGTAAAAAATATGATAGTGATGATAACAAGAGTCAGTTTTACATAGGCAAAGTTTTCCACTTGTGTGCACTCAAGGCAATAAAGTTTGTGATCATACATATATAGTTTAAGCCTTCCAATTACATGTATGCTTCTTTTACAGTGAACAGAACTTGTCAAACAAAAAAGCTGACAATGTTTTACATTCAGTATCCCAGCAGAACAGAAACTTCTATGGTAAGAACTTTAAGTTTTCTAAAAATAATTTAGATGTACCAAAATTTTAATACTAATTATTATTCTTGTTTTAATACTTATTATTATTACAGAAGAGATGGATAGACTTCTGGTTAACCTTTTGTATTTTATAATTTTGCTGCATAAGTTAACATCATGATATTTCATAAAATTGAAAAATATGCAATGTAGCATATCTTTTTTGCCTCTTTTCTAAAAAAAAAAAAAAACAGAACCAAGTATTTTGAAGCTAGACAATTTGTGTATCAAGTTGGCTGTATTTAAGTGGATTAGAAGAAAATTGGCATGGACTTTGCAAGTTTTGGCCATGATGTTAGGTTTTTTATATACTTTTTTCAGTAGAGATCTCTTGCTGACTCATCATAGCCTGTGTACTCTGTATTTTTAAAATGGCAAAAGAAATCTGTTTTGTGTGGGGGTTTTTTTTCCGCAGTGAATTCTAAATTTTGTTCATGTTTTTAACCTTTTTGGTGAGTTAGACTGATGGATAAAGATGGAAAGTGTTTATATCCCTCCTTGGTACATTTTGATGAAAATGTGATGAAGCAGCAGTTCAGTACAGTATCACTGTTTTCAGGGGCATTTAAATCATTCTGTTCCACAAAGCATCTTCATTTATTCAGTTTCTTGGCTTTCTTGTAGAGCAAATGTACGATGTCAATGGATTCCTAGCTATCTGCCATGATATATGGGTTCCCAAATAGACGGGATGGATTTTTTCAGTGTTCCACCATCATGTGAAGAAGATTGGTTTTGTTATGATGGCGGCAGCAGTAGTAGTTCCCTACTTCTGTGCTAGGTCATGAATATGCATAGTGGGAGTTTACTTGTTCTTAGCATCTCCCTTCAGACAGCAGCAGCCCTCAGCTGTGTGCCGAGTCATGGAAAAGCAGGACATGTCTCCCAAACAGTTGTTTCACGTGACCTCTAGCACCACAGTAACAGGCTAGGTGATTTTTTGGCAGCACTTGGATCTATTTTAAATATATTTTGGTGTAGAAAATGTAAGTATCGTTTGGGGGGGGCCACAGCTTCTTTATAAATTGTTAGATAATTGAGTTACAATGATTCTTCTTGCCACAGTCATCCTCCTCCTGGTGGGTTTTGTTCCAAAGCATTTTCTTTATAGGTTGATAGAAAAGTTTGTCCTTCCTTGTGCATGTCATACACCACTGCCTCCTCAGGAAGTGGCCAACGTGTAACTGCTTCTGGCTGGCATAGGTTCTCTGTACAAGAACTGGAAACACTTGGTGTTCACCAGTATTAGTAATTTTACCAAGACCTGAAGTGACAAGACAAGGGGCAGTGGTTTTAAACTGAAAGAAGATATATTTAGATTGAACCTAAGGAAGGAATTTTTCACAAATGAGGGTGGTGAGACACTGGAAGAGTTTGCCCAGAGAACTAATGGATGCCTCATCATTGGAAGTGTCAAGGCCAGGTTGGACCAGCCTTTGAGCAACCTCATCTAGTGAAAGATGCCCCTGCCCATGGCAGGGGGTTGGACCTGGGTGATCTTTAAAGACCTCTTCCAACCCTGACCGATCTCTGATTCTGTGATTTTTGGATGACTCCATGCTAGCATAAAACATCCAGTGGAATTCATTTTCACTGGTCATAACCAGGGCTTTCTTTTAATCTTATAGAAATTATTAAAATGATTTTTTTTTAAATCAAGTATGCATGTGCCTTCCCTTCCTGACCCCACAAAAACACCCCCAAAAACCACCATGGTAATTTTGTTCACTCCCTGTGTTTTCCCCAAAAGCATTTCCATGAGCTTTCTTGGTGGATACTAAGGAAGATTTTTTTTTTTAAATGTCTGGGTGGACTGTGATACTGTTTGTTTTCCTTCAAGATATGAAGTGGTATCAGGAAGAAACACTTGTAATAAGGAAATCTACTTCCTTTTACATACTAATAAGTCTGTTGAGTTTTTGTAAAGTTGATAAATGCCTTGACCTATAAATATTATAGGTCAGCGTGAGGCCAGCCAAAATCATTATCTACTGTTGCTGGAACAATTGAATGGTGCTTGTACAAAGAAGTGCAATAAATACTAGGACACTTCCCCAGGAAATGTTTGATTTTTATAGATATCATACTTATTTTCAAATAATGTATAGTATAGTTTCTTCTAGGACATAAATTGGGGGAGGAGGGGTTTACCATACCACTTTCTGTCATTATTCCAATTTATTCTTCGTTTGTAGAACGAGAACTAATTTGGTGTTTGTTTATTTTGACAACAAAAAAGACAGTCTCAAAATTGATGTTGCATGGAATGCAAAGATCTGTTTTTGCATGACATTTATTCTGCTTTAGTTCTGTACTATACTATACTTATCATACCAGTGGAAGAAAACAAAAAACAAAACAACCCATGCTTGAGTAGCGAAAAGGAAAAAAACCAAACAAAACACACCAGTGAAAAATACATTAAAGGAGTCTGGAATGAAAAATAGGTGGGTTCAAACAGTGTTTGAGCTTAGTAATGAGTATCCTCCAGAGAGAACCATGTACTGTACTTAAGTATACTTAAACCTTTCAACATGATTATTATACATTTTCTTTAAAAAAGTGTAGTGATTCCAGGTGATCCTTAGAATTATCATAAAACATTGATTATAAGATCCCATCTATTCAGTTATATAAATAAATACCAGACTCCTAGAAATAGTACTTTTAAGAAACAAATGTCCAGTCCTTTCTGAGAGAGGAATGAAATGTAAGAAATCTTTGTTAGCCTCTCATGGCAACTTGAAAAAATATCTTTGGGTGTTTTTTTGTGTGGGAAGACTTCTTATGGAAATAATGTTGGACTTCTGATTACACCCACCATTTGTATAACTGTGCTTTACCAGTTCCTCACTTTTAACTGGAGCTGCATGAGGCAACTGTTCAGCAATTGAGGAATTCTGTCCCTGACTTACAAAAATAAACTTATTGTTAGAGCATTATAAAGACAATAACATTGGATCACACAGTGGTTGTGCAGATCAAATGGCTGCTTCTTTTACAGCTAGTAAGCAGTAGATAACTGTAGTGCTGAAGCAAATGTCCCACAAGGCCAATTCCTAATTTGTGTGATCAAATTTTGGCAGGAAAACATGGATATTAAGTAAGCAGATACAGTATCCTTAATTTATATTAATGAGTTAGTGTTTATGAAGTTTGGACTTGATGAACTGTGGAGGCTAATTTTTTTTTGTTTGTAAAGAATATGTGACATGAACTGTGTGAAGGCAAAATTTCCATCCTTTCCATTCTTCAAGTTGAAGAAAAATAACTGTAATTCTTGAAAGTTGGAAAGGGCTATAGAATTTTTTAAATGGATGTTTAGAGCAGTCTGTGTGCTAGCTGTTGATAATAATTTTCAATCATAAAGGGGATTTTAGTGGCTTTCATGACAACCCTCCCCAATTTCTAAGGCACAGATGTCTTTATGAAATGACTGTTTCTGACAACTTCCATAAAAAGCATTAACTGTTTGGAGGGTTAAAAAAAAAATCCAAAAATAATCCTAGAAGCCTTGTTTTCTAGATTCCTCCCCTCCTGTCCCCGAAATGCTCAGAGCACTTCATTCTTGAACTAACCTGTCAGTTGAATAAGCAATGTGATTAAAATTGGCCAAGTGCATGATGGTCTCCTATTTAAGATGCAATATTAAAAGCTGCCTGTTCAGTTCAATAACATGAGAGAAATCCAACTGAAATCTAGAATAATTCGGAAGCTCTGGTGAGTATGTAAAGAAGAATCCAAATTGCCTTTGTTTACTTCAGAAAACTCCACAAACAAACCATAATTCAGAAAAATAAAAATAATCTTCTTAGGAAAACCATACATTTATAGTAATAATTTTAAAAATGCAACTGTACTTAAGAAAATCCAGTTGTTACCCTTATGGTGCATTCAGTATATGAGTGTCCTGTCTGAAAACTAAGTAGTAAATTAAAGCATGCAGCTACTTAATTTACTTAGCATGAAACAGAAACAAATAAATGCTTTTCTGGAGTGTCTTTAAATGATAGACTGAAGATTCTGGTTTAAAAAAAAACCAAAACAACAAACTCTTAAACTTTCAAGATTTCCAAATGCAGTCAAGCAGCCCACAAAGACTGAAATGTAAAGCACTCTGACATTTGTAATTCACTTTGTTAATGTGAGAATTTCGCAATTTAAAATAAGTGATGCAAAAGTTCAGGATTGGATTTTGAAACAAAGACCCGATAAACTTCTTGAGGCAGCAGATCAGAATGAAAGGAGGGTAACAATAGCTGGTATTTTGTGAACTGTTGCTTCACCTCAGAACTCTTTTAAACTTTCACACACATGCAAGTATACACCACCCCACCCCCCAAAAAAAACAACAGTGGAACTTTAATTTCATTTTTTTCCAGAAATTTAAAGCCAGGAAAAAATTGGAACTTCAATTTCATTTTTTCCAAAAATTTACAGCCATGAAAAAAATTCACTAATAAATGTATAAGAAATGTTTTGCAACTGAATGTTACTCCAAAAGGACAATTTCTTGAGTAAAAGGATTTTTTTTTTCTGAAGACGGGAAGATTTTTTAAAATATTATTCTATTTTGGACAAGTCAGAATGTGTTTACCTTCTACACTGGGACTATGTTGTTGTTCCACATTTCCAGGGCTTCCAGTGAGTTTGTCTGTCATTTCAACTGACCACAGAACAATGTCTGGGTTCAAAGAGAGGAATTTGCCACAGTACTTGTTACAAAAAAGTATTCCATCTTGGGTTTTTATTGGCAGCTTAAAAAAAAGTAATTAAAATCAGGTAATCAGAAATACAGGAAATGTGCAGCTAAAACACATCAGAACAAAACTGAATTTAATGTGGGGTTTTTTGCTGCTTTTTTGGGTTTTTTGGTTTTTGTTTGGTTCCCCCCCCCGCCCTAGAAATTGGGCTTTGCAGGTTTTTGCAAATGGTCTGTATAAATAGAGATATCAGAGGAG